ATTTTCATTTTCTCATATTAATTCCATTCCCTTCTTTCCTTTCCCCTACCCCTCCCACTTCCCCTTCCCCTTTGCCCCTTTTCTTTGTATTTCACATTATCTATTATACCTTTTAGTCATTATTTACACTTTCAGTTTCTCACACTACAGAAACTATTCGGTATTTACACATGTGTCCTATTTATTTCACTTAAGAGTATCGCCTCAATGTGCATCCATTTAGCTATAAATATCTAGAATCTATAAAGAACTTATAAAAATCAGACCTCCCTAATTTAAAGACCCAATCGAAAAATGGGCATCTGAAATGAAAAGCTGCTCTTAATGAATGCCTCCCATTTATTTTTATCTCAAGCATACATTCAGGGAAACTTTCATTTTTTGTTACAAAAAGACTGTTTTATGAATTATTAATCACCTAGCAAATTCATTAGATCATGTCAGGGTTACTAACCCAGTGCTTTTAAAATATATTAGCTACCTGCATTTTACTACTGTGACACTGACTATCAAAGAAAATTGGAGACTTTTTCCCTTCTAAATTATTTCCTTATTGTGCATTTTGAAAAACTAATGGGCAGTGAATTTCAGTCCTTTCTCAATTGGAATTTTACTTTAAGACATCCACTAAGAATTTATATCGCATCTGCAGTGATTTTGAAAATCTGCAATTCCAGAAAAAAATGGTATTTTAAATTATTTCTTTTCCACAATTTTCTTTCAAAGAAGGCACAATGAAAAGAGTAGCAATTTTTAACATACCACTGTTCACAGGGCCAAATGATTTGTTTGCAGCTTTGTGTTCTTTATTAAAAAAAAAAAAAAAGTTCTGTCCAGTGTCATTTCTGAGTTTTACTGAAACCTTACTAAGTTTTTGGTGTGGACCTCAGTGCTTTATATAGTCTTGTTTTGTTCTTTGATCTCCTGCTCTAGTCCTCCAGAGTCAAAGTGAACTTCATATCTAAACCCTCCTCACTTTCTACCTTTCAATAGATCAGAAACTAGAAGCAGTTAAAATCTAAAATAAAAAATAATTCAAAGCTCTTATACCTTAATTGATCAAGTTTTAAATTCTAGTTACTGTATACAAAAAGATATTATTCTACTACAGACATTTATTTCAACTATTTAGGGCTATTTTCTTGTCAAAGATTAGAGTGTAATTTCATTTATCCCCAGACATGTTCAATAGTAGCAGCTGAGATGAGGTCTACATAAAACAAAATTATGCTGCCTCACCTTAGAACTGTTACTGACCTCCCATTGCATTTAAATAAAGCTAAGTCCCTTTCTATGTGTTCATGATCATTAAGTACTCCAAAAGCTAAATTCTCCTATATGAAAGGAGATTACCATTGTATGAGTCCTCCTGAATCCAAGGACCTAAACACTCCTTTTCCATCCTCTGACAATAGCATATACACTCTCAACTTATGTTTGGCCAGTTCCACCCCTGCAGAGGAGATTCTGGGTCTGAGAGAAAACCATAAATCTATAGAGGTGATTGACACCAATTGGCAGAATTAACTATCCAGTGAAGGTTCAAACACCAGCAATATCCTGAAGAGATTATTTCTCCTTTTACCATCCCTTAGTTCCTGATCATTTTCCAAGGCTATTTCTCCATGTTTCCTATTAATTATGCATGTTATCCTCTATTATTTTGCTTAGGATGACTATCACTGCTATCTTAGTCTATTTTGTGCTGCTGTAACAAAATACCATGGACCAGGTCATTTATAAACAACATACCTTCATTTCTGACTATCCTGAAGGCTGGGAAGTTCAAGATCAAGGTGCTGGCACCTAATACAGCTTTCTGGCAGTGTTCTCACATAATGGAAGGTAGAAGAGGAAGAGAGTGAACCGACTCCCACAATCCTTTATACAGAAGCATCGCTCTATCCACGAACGCTGAGGCCCTATGACCTAAGAACCTCCTACAAGACCCCATTCCCTAAACAATTGCACTGAAGATTAAGTTTCCAATGCATCAATGTTGGGTGTGCATGGGGACATGTTCAGACATAGCTGCTGCTTCCATTGTTTGCAACCGAGAATCTGACTGGCATGTGGCCTATGAAGTCTCAGTGTTATCAAATTTCCCACTTTGTTGATAGCTTTCTGATTTCACCAGTTTTCTTTTAGTCCCTTAAACACTTGATTATTTTTTTCTTTCTTTCTTTCTTTCTTTCTTTCTTTCTTTCTTTCTTTCTTTCTTTGTACTTCCAGTTGCCTCTGTGGAGAGCTCTTTTCTTGACTAATATATGTGGTTAGTTTCTCTTCTTTTGCCTCTTAGTTCAAATATCACTAGATCAGACATACCGTCCCACAAGATGAGATGATTCCATGCCATTGTTTCCACTCTCTTTTCTCTTCTTCTTTAATCTTAGTGTGCAAATTAATCCATTACTTAGCAATTTTTAATTGTTGGGAACATATTAACAATAAACTATACATTCTTTAGGTCATAGTCAAAGGAAGGCTAGAATTTTATAACTATTACCTTTGTAATCTATATTGCATACAAAGACTATACATCAATTTGAACATGAAGTTTAACTATAATGAAGGTGTAAAATCTCATTTTGTATATGTTTTCTTACCACAAGTTGTGAAGCATAATCCTTAAGTAGCAAGATAAATTATCTGAAGAGTCAGGCTTCAAAACATGAAGAAAGGGACACTGGAAACAGAGATATTTGTAATTCTAAAAGTCAGAATACATTCTTTCATCCAAATGTTATAAACTTTATACCTAAGAACATTTTATTCATATTCATTTTAATGTCAATAAAACAAAAGGCTGATGTCTCAAAAATCTTTAGCTTCTCTATAGCAGTAAGCTTGAAAAGACTTCTGCTGATTTTTGTTAAAGCAATACTGTTACAAGATTCTTATACTTTCCCCTATGCTTGGGGACATTAAAATGAATATCTTTCAGACTATAAATTGAAAATCCTGAGACTTGGGGGACACTGAATTAATCCATGCTGAAGAAGCAAGTAAAGATGACAGGAGAGATTGAAAGATCCCCTTGGCTTCCTTGTGACCCCTGTGTGGTAGATATATATCATAAATATGATATGAATATTATATATGTACTGTGGGACTTTAGCATAGGGCCTTCCAAAAAAGGCACAATAGTAACAGGCAATAGACATGCTAGCATGATACTTTGGGCACAATGCCGTTTGGGGAAATAGAATATTCTTTCCTTCCCTCTTTGGAGCAGCAAGTGCCTCCATACTTTGTCATTTCCACATCACATTATTATGCCCTTCACCCCCTTCATTAAAGTACTGGTATGCAAGTGATCATTCCTAATAATAGGCTCTCCACTACTAGAAGTGGGCCTTTATCATTTTTCACAAAATTATGAAATAGCTTCCCATTATAACTTATGTTCTGTGTACTCCAGCCAAGATTTTTTTTCTCATCTTAAAATGCTCTGCTTTAAATGGGCCTCTAATGTATAATTTTATTGTTTGAGCATTTCATTTTCTTTTTGATTTATGTTTCTTTATAGCTGGTTCGACAGCTCTTTGTGATCTTTTGATGAAAGATTCTACATAAATAAAATTGACTGCGAAGAAGGACCTTGATAGTAGCATTGGCAAGTGCTTTCTGCAGTCTACAAACTTAAGTTCAAGATTCAAATCTCATATGAGACATTTGAAGACTGTCTCACATTTCTTCTTTCTGGTGTTCACTTTAAAATTCATATTAAAGTTGGTCATTTTTATCCTATGCTGGATTTAAGCACCTGTACAAGAGTGAAGAGTTTTAGATTTTTTTCACTAAAATGTAGCTACCAAGGCTAGAGTAAGTAATGACAGTATGATGATTATGCCGACTGAATTCAATACCACTTAGCCATTAAATTTTCAGTTTACAAAACAACAACAAATATTTGGTATATACAACAATCAAATAAGTGCCAAGTTATCTGAAAACTTTTGACCTTTATGTTATTTCCAAAAATCTTTCCAACAGATTTTTTTTCAGGATTTCCCTATTTGCATCTTACATTTACTTAATACCAGGAACTCAACTAGTTTTAATTGTTAATGAATCACATATGTGACATAAGAAAATCTCTTTTCTTCACTATATTTTCAGATATTCTGGAGTGTCCTCATAATTGATTAGATATTTCAACAGAATTTGCCTTACTTAATGCAGAGACCTGAAATTTTGTGGTAAATGTTAGAAAAAAAGTCTGTGCTTCTACTAAAACATTCTTTTCCTTTTTTTTCTTTTTTAAAAATTAACTTTAAATTTCAAGTAATAAATTTCAAATAATAATAGTTTTTTTAAGTATTAACAATTCAATAAATTATAAGGAAAATATATTACTTTGCAAATATGAGTAGTTAGGAAACCTTCAACACATTTACATAATGACAGTAACAGCAAACATGCACTGAGTATGTACAATGTGTTAGGCATTCATGCTTAGTGGTTTAAAATCATTGCCTCATTTCCATCAATCAGATAAACCTATGATACAGGTACCACGGTGACCCAATTCAAACAATAGTTAAACAAGCTGAAAGTTGAGCTAGAAAAGACTGTGATTGCAGTTTAGGACATAATATGAAGTGTTGGTGTCCATCTAAGACGCTCAGTAGAGTTGAAAATATAGTTCAGGCACTCAAAAGACAGACTTGACCTGGGAGATATAAATCCAGGAGTTGTCTGTTCTTGAATCAAGAGCAAGAGTACTCTCTAAGAGCAAACGAAAGGCCTTGGGGACATCTACAGTTAGTAACAGGAGAGAAAGGGAACAGAACAGCTCAGCTAAGAAAGATAATCAAGAAAATGAATGACGTCATGTTCATTCACCAACAAGACTTGTACATCTACCACGTGCCAAGTGCTATGTCATCCACTGGGATTTGAAAGGAACCCAAGGATTGTAAGCAAATAAATATCTCGTTAAACAACAGAGAAGGCATACTGTGAAAAGAAGACAGAGGAGGCAAAAATATTAACAAGTAGGGACCTGAAGCTGGGACAAACCCAGTCACTACAATTCTGTATCCTGCTTAATTAAATCTCTTCTACCTTAGGACTAAGGGTGAAGAATACAGGGTAAGATCTGTCAAAGTTCCAATGGTTACATCTGTTTCAAGAAAAGATCAGACATTTTCCATTAATTGACATTTTTATTGCTTACTTCTGTTTATATCCCAAGAATCAGAATAAAGGAGAGTCATCTGGGAACTGCAAAAAGTCAAGGATATAGAAAAGGAATCATTCAAATATTTATAGACAGTTGCCATTTATAAAGAACTTTTGTTTACATTTTAATGTTTAATATTTTCACTATAAGACTATGAAATGAACATTATTATTATTGTTACAGATATTATTCTACAGATAAAGAATCAGACAGAATAAAAGAAAATATGGACTAGTGCCCTTCACAGAATCATAGGACAAATGAGAGCTGGAGACAGGATTAACATGAGTCATCCTATTCCTAATCCCATGCTCTTGCCAAGCATTAAAAGAGCTGGCTCAGTGAGGGCTGGAAAGCTCAGGAGTCCAATGTTGCCATAAAATACAGTGGAAAGTGTTTTACATCTTTAAAAGCCTAGATTCTGATGGGATTCAGGTCAGATATTAAAAACTGGGAGAAAATACTTGAAAAGGAAGGACTAGACTACCCCATCACCAGACTTGATTAAGACACTAGGAGAGGAAGCTGAGAGATGGATCAGAATGATAAAATCCATACATGAGTTTAGGGAATCTGAAAGCACAAGAGCCTGATGCTCAAGTAAATAAAAGATTGTAGTTTGTCTCCAAACAGGGAGGGCTTTAAATGGCCTCACAGAGCATCCTACATTGTCAAGGAAAACCATATTCAGCTATTTTATATATCTTACATTCCTGGATTTCTAGGGCTAGATTCATCCTACAACACTTAAGTTATCTTAGCAGAAGTAGAACACTGCTTTGTAATCTGGAGGTCTGGGCTTGATATAAAGTTAAGTAGCTAATGCCAAGGACAAAGGACAATTCTGCATCATGAAGAGAGAAAGACCATTGGTGTGAAGAATCCTAGGAGTGATAAATAAGAGTGGCAACATAGCTAGGAAAAAGATGAAGATGGGGCTAAGGACAATGCAGAAAATATGTGAGGAGGGGAGGGAAAAAATGTGAGAAAATGTGCAGAAATTCATGACTGGAGTAAGGCTCTTTGGGGTGAAGAACAGGAGAGAATAGTCAATAGCAGTCATACAATGAGAGATTATGAATTTCAAATGAAGAGAAATGCAGAAACAATATCTGATAAAATGGCCCTGAAGAGCAAGGCTACCAACACCAGCCATAACACCTAGAGGAGGTGAGCACAAATACAGTCTGACACAGACAAAAGGAATGGAGAATAAGCAAAAAAAGAGACTAGAAACAGAGTAAATGTGAGAAGAGTGTGAATGTCGTGACTGACCACGGAGATAAGTCAGGTCTAGGTCAGGGAGATGCAAAATGGAAAAAGATGTTAAAAAGGAAGCCCTAGGGAAAGAAAAAAGAAGGATTCTGTTTCTAAATAAATAGGACATGTTGGATTAATAGAGGAGAGCCATAAATGATGATATGTAGGCTAAGGAAATATATGTATTCACTTATTCAGAAAAGTATTTTGACTCCCTGGTCCCCAAAGTTACTCCCTAGTCCCAAACAACAAGTAGGACAAGATATGACTTTCACTTTCCATGATACAGTGTAGAAGATGTGGTAGATGGAAAATTGCTGTAGAGGCCAGAGGAAAGAAATGTATACATACACATACACATAGACACATGCATGCACACACTCACACAAACACATGCTATTTCACACAAACATCACCTAAACCAGATCTCTTTTTGCTCATGTAAAGAAATATTAATATCAGAGACTTAGTTAGTTGTTCATAAAAATAGCTCTATAAATTTACTTTTATGCAGTTGATCAGATTCACTCAAGTACTGTATACTGGTTATCCATTAAAAAGAAAAAGAAAAA